TCAATAGAAATTTCTGGCATGCATTTTACTAAAATATAGCAGAAGCAGGGCAGAAAGTAAGTACATTGTGTCTGTGAAGAACAAGCAGCATGTTCTTTTCCCTCCATGAATAACAATGGAAGCAAGTTGTTTTGTTATCGGAAGGACCAAATGGGGCATTATTTATGGAATGACCCAGAGTTTAGAGAATAAGGCAGGATATTGTCCCTCTCTGCTGTGAATGGATAGACTCTGTAAGAAAGTGTGAAAGCCCCTTCACTTAGATTCACTTCATCTAGATTGCCCGAGTTATGTGCTTCAGAGGTCCACCAAAATGGGATAAACATTTGGGTGAACTGACCCCTAGAAAAGCCCTTGACAAATTCATGCACCAGTGGCTCAGTGTTTGAGTCTCTGCTGTCTCTGTGTTTTAGGCTCCTTCCCCCCCCCCCCCCCCCCCCCCCCCCCCCCCCCCCCCGGTTCATTTGCCCTGGTAGGACTCTGTAATCCAGTTGCCTAATTCGGATGAGGCATCCTCTCTTTGTACAGTCCATTGTTTCAATAATCAGCTGACATGATATGCCTGTCTTTGTAGTCTTCAAACTCTTCAATTCACTAACAGGGGACCTTATTCTTCATGGGCTTGCCAGCTTACTGTTGACAGGAACAAGTAGAAAGAGGACAGGACCAGACTGGTACGGATGAGTAACAAACATGCTATTTGTATAGCTGAAAAAAAGGGAGGAATCTGGCGAGTTCTGCAGTTTACAGGTGTGATTTCATATAGCGATATGTAGCAGTCTTCTTTGTACTCACCCATTCTGCCAGGGTTTGTTTGTGTTCTCTAAAGTCCCCCCCTCCAAAAAAACGAATACCTTCAAGAAAAGCAACATGTTTTGTTCAAATTTAACATTGCATCCCTAGTTTTTAAACAGCTCTCAGTAACTTGTGGTATGACCTTTTTCCTTTAGAAAATATTTTGCTTCATAGACTTCCTAACCTTTTTTGACCAGCGACCACTTGACTAGCGACTACTTGACCAATGACTACTTTGACCAGGGACCACTCTCCGGTGTTAGTACCAAAAGGGTAACAAATCAGTTTTTGGCCCACTTGAGATTTGGTTTTGTTATTTGGGATGCTGATTCAGAATATTGCATTGGATAGACCACATCAGCTCTAGTTTCTAATACAGAACATATGCCATCCAGTGGTCGCTATCTGCTCCCCCACAGAAAACCATATTTAATAAGCCTCAGCACCATAAGAGGGTTTCCTGAGACTAGTCGCTCTCGTTGCAACGATGTAGTAACAGGCTGCAGACCATATTATAGTTCTTGCAGACTACTGGTAGTCCACGAACCACAGGTTGGGATCCACTGACCTAAACACATCTTTGGATGACCATAATGTACATAGCAGAGAAGGGAATTACTGTGCTAATTTTCAACATATGCCCTCCAACTGTTCTGGTTTGACAGAAACGGCCCGATTAATCTTCTGTCCATTTTTCAGATGAATTTGAAATGTTACAGTTTCTCCTTCCTCATGTTACTTTCCTAATTGGTCCTCAGTTTACTTCAGTTGCTTCAAAGTGAGTTCAAAGAGCAAAAGTAGTTTGAACTCAGTTAACTCAGCAGGAGGAGAGAAAAGGCTTTGAATCTTGCCCTTCCCAGTAGGGCAAGGCAAAAGCAAACTTCTGCAACCTTTCCTAGCTTACTATTCTTCTCCATTAATAACGTCTGCCATCTTAGCCACACTGTGATGTTATTAAGACAAACATGTCCCTGTTAAATTTTGGAGGGTACATCAACAAGAAATGTATATGCATAATGTACTTTTGCATATAAAAAAGTATAGTATCACAGGAGTCTGTATGTTGTTGCCTGTCATGCAAATTATAGGGCCAGCTTTAGCACAGCGGGTTTATCACCAGCTGCAGCTGCAGTAAATCTTTCCAACCAAAAGGTTGTCAGTTCGAAGGCGGGTCAGGATGAGCTCCTGACCGTTCACTGAGCTTTCCGCCCACCTAGCGGATCGAAAACAGCAATGTGAGTAGATAAATAAGAACCGCATTAAGCAGGGAGGTATTTTAGGCATGGTGTTTAGATCAGAAAAAGGAGGAAAGTTTATGAACAAAGAAAGCTCTTTGGCAAGGAGATGGAGTGACAGCACTCTCCTGTGGCTGGAACCGAGCGCAGTGTCCAAGAATGCCGAAATATAGGGAAAACCCTATATAAATGCCTCTATCTATTGTCTGTCTTGTCATTGTATAATTGGCATTGAATGTTTGCCATATATGTGTTTTGTGATCCGCCCTGAATCCACTTCAGGGTGAGAAGGACAGAATATAAGTATGTAAGTAAGTAAGTAAGTAAACAAACAAACAAACAAACCCATGAAGAAAACTGCTAGGAAAAATGCAGGTTATTTCCCCTTCCCTATCTGCACATATTCAATAGCATCATCTTTTTAAGTGCACTTAGAGCTCATCTACATCTGCCGCAAAGTGTGGGGCAATTCCAGACCAGAAATGTTCTGAATGGCCCCTGAGATGTTCAAAAAAGTGCAGGGAAAAGAGGATAGCAGTATTGGCCCATGTGAACAGCAGACTAGTTTACATTGGAGCTGGTCTGCTGTCCACACCCTACCTGAAGTGTAGGGCTTTTCCAGAGCATTCTCCGACATTGCTTAACATGGAATTGAATTGGTTTCACCCTAGTTTACTCAACATTAAGGAGAAAGAGTACCTGGATGTTGTGAGGGCAGCCAGGAGCAATTTTTGACCCATTTAAGTTCTGCAAATGTCTATTTTATATAAACAATAGGAACAGACACTTTTCTTCTTCACAGTTTTATGAGTGACTCATGTTTTTGAATGTCAGTGCTTTAGAAAATGCTTGAGTTTCCACTAACGGACAGCTTCAGCTTTCCATACTGAGTGAGACTGTAAGAAGAGAGCATTTTGAATAACCTGAGAGATCTCAATTCAATCCGATTCACTAGAAATCAGATTGAATTGGATGCCCTTGGAAAAGAAGACAACCCTTCTTTCTTTCCCTACAAGTTTGGAGGTTTTGTTAAAGTCATAGAATCTTCCTTTAAATAATAAAACAAAAAATAACACCTCTGTAAACAGTGGCATTTTAGTTTTAGTTTTTTTGTTTTTAACTTTTGCTGACTGGGGTAAAAAAGGACAATTCAGTTTTGCAATAGCAAAAAGTTTAGTAACTGGCACACGCCAGTTTTCTCCTGCTTGAAATGTTGCATCATGTGAGTCTTGGAGGTTTTCAAGAGAATGAGGTGGCCCTTCTCAAGGAAGCATGGACAAGTGCCAGGGAAGAAGGTACAGGTTTTGCTAGTCCCAGGTTTGTGAATTCCAGCACCAAATATTTTCCCAGGGCTGCTAATCTATTTTCCAAGAACTCCCCAGTTACTGTGCTGACTTTTTCAAGGTATAATTTAAATGGGGAAGAGACAAATGAATCCCCACCACCTACTTTCCAACATGGTATTGTTGGAGAACATGGCAGAAGTCCACTTGAATACCCAAAGACTTAACCCCAAAGAGGCCCAGAGAGAGCTGTCCCTCCAGCACCTCTGTCACTGGTACTTCTTCCTGCTCTGTATGCATACTCCCTCTGATGCCTCCACATAGTTGAATCTCTCCGCCTCCCTTCATTTGGCCTCTTTCTTCCTCCCCTCTTCCCCGAAGAAGACCCAAAGATCTTACATATATAGCATCTTTATTTGCTTGGGAATCTCTATTATTCGTCACCCTCACCCTGCTCAGTGTAATACTACGGCCACTACTAATCTGTGTTATGACTACAAATTGAGAGATTTAACTGGTTTGACTTCTAGCATATGAAGTTGGTATATATGATGATAAGCTTGGGAGAGCTTTGTTTAAAATATTTAATTTAGAAGATTATATACTGGAGCCCCAGTGGTGCAGCGGGTTAAAGCGCTGAGCTGCTGAATTTGCTAACTGAAAGGTTGGTGGTTCGAATCTGGAGAGCAGGGAGAGCTTCTGCTGTTAGGCTTAACTTCTGCCAGCCTAACAGTTTGAAAACATGCAAGCGTGAGTAGATCAATTGGCACCACTTTGGCGGGAAGGTAATTTTTTGTTCTGTTTTTGTTTTTGTCGTGTCAGGAGCGACTTGAGAAACTGCAAGTCGCTTCTGGTGTGAGAGAATTGGCTGTCTGCAAGGACATTGCCCAGGGGACGCCCGGATGATTTGATGTTTTTATCATCCTTGTGGGAGGCTTCTCTCATGTCCCCGCATGAAGAGCTGGAGCTGATAGAGGGAGCTCATCCACCTCTCCCCGGATTTGAACCTGCGACCTGTCGGTCTTCAGTCCTGCCGGCACAGGGGTTTAACCCACTGCACCACCAGGGGCTCCTGAAGATAATGGTGCTCCATGCAGTCATGCTGGCCGCATGACCTTTGAGGTGTCTACGGACAACGCCGGCTCTTTAGCCTAGAAATGGAGATGAGCACCACCCCCAGACATGACTAGACTTAATGTCAAGGGAAAATCTTTCCCTTTTATATACTTAGGTCAATTTATGAAGCATGTTTGCTTTGCCATCAAATCAACAAGCGTATCTAATTACATAGAAACCAATTACTTGGGACTGATACTAAAAGATACTATCTATTGACTATCAAATATTCGCGATAAAAGGTCAAGATTTTTCATTTTTGTCCACAAATTAATTTCTAAATGCTAGTTATAAAATCATAACAAGGTTTTCTTGGGGCATGTTATTAAAAACATAGTTAAGTCCATAATTTTGCACTTAAAACCAGCCTACATTCTCTAATAGGAGCAGCTTACATGTGTGGGAATAGGCTCAGGTCACAAGGTTTATGAAACATATGCAATTGCCTTTAAAAAATGTGATTTGATGTTTATATTGTCTTTGGGTAGATGTCCACTCCATAGCAACTGCTAACAAGAAAAAATAAAACTTGCCATTTTAACTTGTGTTTCTCATTTTTCCCCCTTCCCAGGATGTCATTCCCTACTTCAGGATGAATGAATGCCACTATGATAAGCGTATGGACTTTTTTTATAACAGAAGTAATGCAGCCACAGCAGATGAATGGTCTGGGACATCCCTTGTCATTGTTTTATGCTTTGGGACTTTCTTTTGCCTCTTCATTTTCCTTTCAAATTCACTGGTCATAGCGGCTGTGGTCAAAAACAAGAAATTTCACTTCCCATTCTACTATTTGCTAGCCAACCTAGCTGCAGCTGACTTTTTTGCTGGCATTGCCTACGTGTTTTTGATGTTCAACACTGGCCCAGTCTCAAAAACATTGACTGTCAATAGGTGGTTTCTGCGTCAGGGACTTTTGGATACAAGCCTGACAGCTTCTCTGGCCAATTTGTTGGTCATTGCTGTGGAGCGGCACTTGTCTGTTGTGCGGATGAGGGTCCACAGTAACCTCACAAAGAAGAGGGTCACTTTTTTCATCCTGTTGATCTGGGCCATAGCCATTTTCATGGGTGCAGTGCCCACATTGGGCTGGAACTGTCTTTGTGACATTTCAAGCTGCTCTTCCCTGGCTCCTATTTATAGTAGGAGTTACTTGATATTCTGGACAGTCTCCAACCTGGGAGTTTTCTTCATCATGGTGGTGGTGTACATAAGGATCTACATGTACGTCCAGAGGAAAACCAACGTTTTATCCCCACACACAAGTGGATCCATCAGCCGCAGGAGAACTCCAATGAAGCTTATGAAGACTGTCATGGCAGTGTTAGGTAAGATGATATCCATAATAATAATAATAATAATAATAATAATAACTTTATTTATATTCCGCTCTATCTTCTCGAAGGGACTCAGGGTGGTTTCCAAACACAAAAGGCAAACATTCAGTGCCCGAATACAACAACAATACATCCATACTAACAAAATTTAAACAATCCAACATATAAACATGAATTATGACTTAACGACAAAAATTAAATAAAAAACACAGCCTGTTATAACAGACATAAGACAAAACATCAAACATCGAATGCGAACGATAATTTCCCAGTTCCTTGGGGTAAATCGATTAATCATTGCTCAAGATATCTATTGAACTGGTAGGGTAAGCAGGACACAGATATGGATGGCAACTATTAATCAGAGGTACTATGGTAGTATTACCAACTACTATTCCTCCTCCTCTTAAGCCAGTGAGCAAAGATATGTCTTCAGCTGTTTCTTGAAAACGGGGAGGGAGGGCGCCATCTTTAACTCCTTAGGAAGGGAGTTCCAAAGGTGAGGGGCAGCCATGGAGAAGGCTCTTTCTCTCGTTCCCACCAGCCGTACTTGGGGCAGGGGTGGAACTGAGAGGAAGACCTCCTCTGATGACTGTAGTGTCGAAGTTGGTCTATAAAGGAAGATGGGGTTTGCCAAATAGTCTGGACTTAAGCCTAGTGGGGCTTATAAATCACTAACCCTCTAAAGACACATAGTAGTATCTCCTGGATGACTCTTCTGTTGTGATAGGTTCCAATTCCTGTTTGTTATGCTGCTCTTCGGATGATTAGACTCCATTCAGTCATCTTCTGATCTACCATCTGATGTGCATTATAGAAAGGGGAATCTTACTAGGACCTATTCATTTTATTTGTATTAATCTTTGAATGTGCAGCTATATAAAACGGGAGGGCTGCTTGCAAATCCCAATCTATCACTAAACTTTACACACTAACTTACTGGCTGCTTGTGAATTATCACTAGTTTTAATATATTTAGACATTCTATTTTAATTTATTTTGTAAGTCGCTTTGAGTCTCATTTGGGGGGAAAGCGGGATATAAATCAAATAAATACAATAAAATAATGAAGTGTTTTTTTAGTCCAGTTGTTCTCAACCTGTGGGTCCCCAGATGTTTTGGCCTTCAACTCCCAGAAATCCTAACAGCTGGTAAACTGGCTGGGGTTTCTGGGAGTTATAGGGCAAAACACCTAGGGACCCACAGGTTGAGAATCACTGTTTTTGTCTATTCTGTCCACACTATAAATTTGAGGCATTTGCTTGCAGACTGAATTTGGAGAGGAGAGGCTTTCTCAGACTACGGAAATGTCCTAGGTCAGAATTAGACATGGTAGCTAGAGGTTACCTTCTTTTGACTTATAGGACTGCAACCTTAGTCCTTATATTGCTTTGTTCCTAGTGGCTAGTTACCCAGCTTGGGTGGTCTTGGCAAAGCTGCAGATGATCCTGACTCATGCTTGAAGGACTCCTTATACATGAGCTGCTGTTGTGTGCCTTCAAATCATTCCCAACTTCTAGTGATCCTTAGGAGACCCTATCACCAGGTTTTCTGGGCAGTATATGTGTGACTTGCCAAAATTTATTTATTTATTTATTTACTTCTTTTGTATACCGCAAATATCAGCCTGCAAAGGCGACTCGAAGCGGTTAATTAGACTCCATTCAGTCATCTTCACCCAGTGAAGATGAAATTCACCCAGTGGGTTTCCATGGCTGAACAAGTAATTGAACTCCAGCCTTAAACAATCAAACCACTACACCGTACTGGCTGAATATGTCTACAAATTCAGTGCCAGGCTTACATTCTCACTTGATTGGAAGTCTACAATGATACAATGCATGAACGTTTTTATAATGTTATAGAATAGAGAAAGTCCTTGGGCAGGAGAAGTCGAGTGGGTGTTCATAAATAGCAAGCAAAAAGAAGGTCGGTGTGAAAAGTCTTGTGGCTGCTTGTTAGATGTTGAATAGCTTCTTTCATAACTCTCAAATATGCCAAGTGCTCTGCTTCTCAGTGCTGCCTCCTTGACGGGAGATAACAAAAGAAGGCATTGCTCTGCTGTGCGGGAGACCATTCCTGTTGCTATTGTAACCGTTCTGAGATAACAGGAATACAGACCATGCTTCTGTTTTCCCAGCAAAAGTCTGCAAATGAAGCCAGCTTATTTGCCTAATGCTATGATCAAGGATACTGTTTCTTTACTCTCCCTGAGAGCAGAAGTTGTCCTTGAAGATTTTGATTTAAACATAGGGAGAAAAATCCATCCATTTGACCCAATGGTCTGACACAGTGAAATAGACATCTAGATATCTAGGGAGTACTGCCACTGTTAGTGAACCGTTGTTTCACTAATCCAAGTAGTAACATTAATTGAACATTGATTTTGCATGGTATATGAACAATTGTTTCTGAGAAACAGAGCACATAGTTTGTGTGAATAAAGTTTGAGGTTCCATTTCTGATCTTTTGCCAGTTTAAAATAATAATGCTATGTAATATGATTTTTGTTCCTGGGTTATAAGTGTAATTTCCGAATTGATTCTGTCATAAAAACATGGTAAAGTGTATTAAACTGCAAAAACTTCATTTCTGCGGGACATCCTGCAGCACATTTTGCTACAGTTCTTCAATGAATATCTCCTAACATAAGGCACGCGGGGGTGGGGGATGTATTTGAATACCTACATAAATTTATACCCCGCCACCATCTCCCAGAAGGGACTCGGGGCAGCTCACAAAAGCACCCTAGAGTGCTGCATATAAAATAAATAATACATAAGCATAAAAGAATAACAATATCAAATTATAGCAGCAACCAGAATGAGCATACATAATATCACATAACATCACATAATAATAAAATTATTAAAATTATAAAATACAGTAGTCCCTGCAGATAAAACTGGCTGTCATCCAATAACGAACTAAAGTGCCAGAGTGAATATTCAGTTCTCACATACACCCATTTCAGTCAATTCAAGGTCAAAGTCCCATTTAAAAATCCATGTTTTTAGGCTAGATCGAAAGGTTTGGAAAATGGGGGCTAACCTAATCGCTCTAGGAAGGGCATTCCAGAGCCACCACAGAAAAGGCCCTCTCTCTCATCCCCACCAACTGTACTTGAGACAATGTCAGGACCGAGAGAAGGGCCTCCCCGGCAGATCTCAGAGCCCATGCCGGTTCATAGAAGGAGATGCTGTCTCGAAGATGGGTTGGACCTGAAGTGTATAGGGCTTTATGCACTTGAATTTGGCCCAGAAACTTGTCAGAAGTCAGTGGAGCTGCTTTAATAGGGGCATAGTATGCTCCCTATAGCTAGCCCCCGTTAGTAATATGGCTGCCGACCTTTGCACTAAATGCAGTTTCAAGTGGAGGAGACCTGTAGGCTGGGTAGGGATTTGTTCCCCCAAGTGGTCCTTGGTTTTTTTTTTTTGGGGGGGGGGGTTGCCTTCCCCACACTGTTTCAGCTGGGTGTGGTAATTGGTTAGGGTGGAATTATTTAATAGGTTGTCATGGCATAATAAAGGTTAGATAGTCCCATTAGGCACCATGGTACCCCGCCTTCTGGGGATGAAGGGTGGACTTGTATAACAGTTTCAACATGTTTTGTGGCTCAGAAGAATGTAAAAGGGGGCTCCCTTTGGGGCTGGAATGAAGGTTCTCATTGGAATGAGGGTTTGGGAGGGAGTGCCCTAAGGATGGACTTCCAGCTAAGATTGGTCAAGATGTGCAGCAAAAGATTTTTGGGTGGCCCTTGGGATTTATGGTGCTCACTCAAGTACATCTTTGGAGGTGGTCAGAGGGAGTGACACTTGGGCCAGAGATAGTTCTCACTATGTGGCTTTTAACCCAAAGAGTTTTTTTTCTTACAGCTTAATTTCCCATAACTGTTTTTGTTCAAATATTTAAAATAAATATTTAAGATTCTATGTGTTTTTAGAAATGAAACCGCTTCAACCTTCTTTTGTGCATAACTTCTAGAAAATAAATATACAAATAGGTCAAGAAATGTTCCTTTAGATCTATTTTCCTATGTTCTGGTTTCTTTCATGGTGGGAATTCAATACGTCTTGGGTCAGCAATTTAACTTGGTACACAATAGGTTCTAATGTTTCCAACTTGTCAGAACCTGTAAGGTAAAACAAAACCATTAAGAGTGCCTTGGGAGATTAAAATCCTTCCAGTTCTTCCCCACTCACTCAATGTACATTTCTGTTTTGTATTCTTCTTACCTGTTTGGTTATGCTGGGAGAAACGCTATGGGATGCCAGAATCCACACTGCCATATATCCCAGTTCAAAGCAGATAATTCAGCTGTGTGGAAGGGGCCTAAATCTAAAACTCTTCTGGAATTTTGACGACAGAGTGAAGAGTATTTCAGTTTCTCTTACTGTTGAGTAAACTCAAATAAAATGCCGTGTTTCTGGCATTTAGAAAAGAATGGCTTTTAGGACACTATTTTCAGAACATCTAGTTACCAAGAAGTTATATTTGGCAACATCTAACTACTATAGTACATGAGTTAAATGTATATTATGTCAGAGGCACCATGAAAAACAGGTGTAGATGTTTTTGTCAGTATGTGCTGTTATGTGACCCAGATTTCAAATGTTTCAATTGTGTTCATACAGAAACTGAAATACTATTCCAAGAAATATTTGTATGGGCCCTTCAACACAGCCCTGTATCCCAGAATATCAAGGCAGAAAATCCCACAATATCTGCTTTGAACTGGGTTATGAGTCCACACTCAAATAATGTGGGATTTTCTGCCTTGATATTCTGGGATGTAGGGCTTTGTGGAAGGGCCCTATGTCACATCTGAGACAGAGATAATAAGGTTGGTAGCACCAACTCTTCTATAGTGAGTACACATTCAGTATCCCTTATCCAAAATGCTTGGGATCAGAAATGTTTGGGATTTTTGAAATACCTGTATTTGCATATACATTATTTATTTATTTATTTATTTACTGTATTTGTATACC